GAGAGATGTAGGATATAATTTTTCATTACTGAGAAAGCAAAAGTTAGGTTTATGTTTTAACTTCTGTCAATCTTCAATATGTTTAAATTATGTAGTACCATAATCAATACTATTATTCATTGTAGTTGACTAGAATTATAGAAACCTCTCTCTATTACTTTCACACTTGCTTCTTCTATGATCTTCATTGAGATATTTGATTTAGGAAATCCTACTATCCCCAAATAATAAAACCTCCAATAAACATCTGGTGCCACTATTTCATCATTTAAACTGGTTGCCATGTATTCACCGACTCTTAGGAACATCACTCATGTTTAAATGCCCTTTTCTCCTTCGGCTTGAACATATTCAATTGATGTTGAATCCCGAGGGTAAAGTATAGAAGACACATAGTGGATAATTTGAGGAGGAGCAATGGACATACTAAACTAGACAGCGTTCTCCCACTCCGATACTTAAGTCCCGCAGCCAAATGCCGCAATTCCATTATCTCATCAGCCCATACCAATGTGTAAGCAATTGACTGCAGGTGTGTTAATTGAGAGGGTGTTGATGAGGTAATGCAAGGGCTGGTGCAAGGCTGAGGCAGAAAGTACAGAAGTGAGGGTCATCACACACATGGCACAAATGAGGATGCATGAAATATGTTCTTCCCAGCTTTGCTGAGTTGTCATTGCCTGGAGCTGAAGCATGGATGAATTTATGGGAGTAACCCTCAAGAATGTTCATGATGCTGCATTGAGTGCACAAGAAATAGTGGCGCTGGACCTCATAGGCTGTATTTTCCCCTTAAAGTTTATAGAAGAGCATGGAAAAAGCAAAGGTTTGAAAAATAAAGCTGCAATAACAGGACAATGTTAGGGAGGGAAAACCTTAGAGAATTAAAAACTGACTGGGGAGAACAGAATAAGAAACCAGAAAGTGAATATGGGGGTATAAAGATAAAAGATGGCTAGAGAGTTCTTCCAGGTCTAGAGCATCTGCATTTTTTCAAAATTAATTCAGGCCTCCACAATTAATCTCACTTCCTTTAATATTAAATGGATAAGATTCTAACCCTAAAAATCTCTTTTTATTAACTTCTGGCTATCTTTGGGATTAGTTTTATTCTACCACAATTTTTTTAAAATGTCAACTTGTGAATGAACCTCAGATGAAAAATAATGATTAATGACTGCTCTTAAACATATTCCAACTAGACAACTTGAGAGTGCTCTCACCTCAGTAACCGGTCTCCCTCAGCACCTGCCCTTACCCCCAAGGCCCCTGCTTTATTCCACCTGCCCAGGGACGGGAATCCTCCTTTCAGGCTGTGTCACTGCCTGTGAGTTCAGTGGACCACAGCAGCGGGCGTATCCTCTTGGATAGTTGGGGATTTTGAGACGCCCTCTGAGATGTTTTGTTCTAACTTTCACAGACATTTTAAACTTTCAAGAGTGAGGAAGCCTTTTTCCCTTTCAATCTAACTGTTTTTCAGTTTTATTATTGAAGTGTCAACTAGTCTTCCCCAAATAGCAGCATGTTCTGCACTTTGTCCAGTTTCCTTGTAGCAGATCTAACTGTCCCTGAAATAAAACCTCTTGTCCTCAAGAACCTTGAAGCCATGGGCTCTTATGAAACAAGAGAATTGCTTGTACTTTAAACTTTAAAGATTTTTGTTTTAAAAACTGTTATTTATGTATGCATTTGCAATGTAGCTCTGTTTACAAAGTTTGCCCTTACAAGCTTTGGGATGAAGAATAGGGACATCTCACTTAAGCTGGGATAAATGGCAAAAAGCCACAGAACCCAACAACCTATGAAATGTAATTGTTAACAATTATAAACTATTATAAGAACAATTTAAAAAGTATAAACTGTTATAAGGAAAATTCTCATATGGGAAAGTCTAAATTATTATACTCACATGTCATATGTATTTATTGACAATCATCTTTTTCCTTTAAAGTAACAAGATTTGAGGCACAGGATTAGTGATGACAGCAATTTGTTGAAAATCTGTTAGAAAGTTAGTGCCCCCAAAATGTTAGTTGAATTAAATGAAAGATTTGAACTCAATGATTCCTAATACCTTGCCCCACTATGATTTTACTATTTGCCCCATAAACAACCAGGTTAATAGGTGGTGAAAAACTTTTGCAAATTTGGATTGTCCACCTTCTCCAAACTCAGAAAATGGACACATAGACCTCAGGGAATATTGACAAAAGGGTCCAGTGTTCACTGAACTCCAATTTTTATATTATAAGATACATGTTAACATCAAATGCCAAAGACAAAATATCATGTGCTTTCATCCATTAGCTTTATACCTGATATACATTAAGAGAAGTATAATTCCGGGCCGGCCCGGTGGCGCACTGGATAGTGCGCCGCTTGGGAAGCACAGCGGCGCGCGCCGCCCGAGGGTTCGGATCCCACGTACAGACCGGCTCCCGCTCACTGGCTGAGCGAGGCGCGGGAGCAATACCGAGGTTTGCAATCCCGTTGCCGGTCCCTGGTCCGGTACGGGGGCAACACTGAGGGTTGCGATCCGTTTCCGGACACGGAAAAAAGACAAAAAAAAAAAAAAAAAAAAAAAAAAAAAAAAAAAAAAAATA